ATACAGTTTGATTAGCAGCCCAGTTTTCCGTTGGTGCACCACATATTTTTTCTTTTAAGCAAAAGCTAAAATATGGTTCCTATTCTTTCCTGTATCAATTTGAGTCCCACAGTGAGTTGTCCTGCTCTTTCATTTTACGATCCAAAAGTTTGTTACTTTTTAAATTATCTACATGAGGTGCTTCTCTTTGATCTTTCATCTGAGTCTAAAAATATGTCTATTTTTTGCTTGCAGTTCAATTTTATTAGTATTGAGTATTTGTACCATTATTTTTTGTTTCAATTCCTGACTTTGCAGAAAGGAGAGGCCCAACTACCCATTCATCGTTCACAATCAGTCCCTGTGATTAATAAAGATGGAAGTATATATTTAGGTGGTGTCATTCGTGTAATTCCCACCACACCACGAATGCCTGAGAGGGCTGTCACAACAACTTCAAGCACATCCCCAGTAACTGACACTGGTAAATTTTGCGTTTTAATTGTCTTTTTCCACATCCACAAAAAAACCTCTCCTATCCCTTTGGGTACCAGTTGTCTGTATTTTCAGATTCTAGCTACCTTTGACCCTGGTTTTGTAACTTGTGATAACCAACCTATGCCTTATCTTAGTCTTGCGGTTCAGATGGAAGTGATGATGGCGGTGAAGATATTGCTGTAGAAGAAGCTGTTTGTCGAATTTGCTTAGTTGAACTAGGTGAAGGTGCTGAAACCCTCAAGATGGAGTGCAGTTGTAAAGGTGACCTTGCTCTTGCCCACCAAGAATGTGCTGTCAAATGGTTCAGCATTAAAGGTAATAAAACATGTGATGTATGCAAGCAAGAGGTTCAGAACCTACCCGTCACACTTTTACGAATTCAAAATGTTCAGACCCTTAATTCTCGAGGAAGTAGAGCACAGCAGACTGAGGTTACTCAATATAGGCAAGTGATATTTTAACTGTTATAATGCACAGGAAAGGGAAATTTCTGCGCTTACTATGTCTGTTGTGTATGGTCTTATTTTTTAATATGTTCAACACCACCTTCTAGGATGGGATAATTAATAATTAATGCAAAAATTTCCAGGGTTTGGCAGGATGTTCCCATCCTTGTCATAGTCAGCATGCTTGCTTACTTCTGTTTTCTTGAGCAGCTTCTAGTAAGTCATGCAAATTCTATGTACTTTTTCTTTCTTAGCCTTTCAGTTCCTAAGTAAATCAATTGGACAGGTGGGCAAAATGGGATCGGGTGCAATTGCTCTCTCTCTTCCTTTTTCCTGCATATTGGGTCTTTTGGCAGCCATGACATCAACCACAATGGGTAGGGCTACGCTTGAAATTACTTATCTAGAAATATTTTCAATTTCATGAATTCATTGATTTTCTTGCGACTAAGAAGAAAAAAAAAAGAATTCAATGTCTTTCTACTATACTGACTTAGAAATTCGTGTACAGTGAGAAGAAAATTCGTCTGGGTTTATGCAACTACTCAGTTTACACTGGTGGTTCTCTCAGCACATGTACTCTATTCATTGGTAAGAGTTGCTCAGCTACTCAAGTAGTGATAGGATTTGTGAAGTTACTGCTCTGCTACTCCATTCATGAAAATGTGATGATTCTACTTAGTGAAAAAGTTTCTCTGTTTTGGGTTAAAAAATGCTTAGAACGAGCAACTGCTGATCAATAATCTTATTGTCAAGTGAAAATCCACTAAATCTGTGATGAGGCGTTAAGTGTTGAATATTGGTGTTCACCTTCGTATCCATAACAGTGTCTTATATGTTCTTGTTGGGTCTACAGCTTCACATGCATGCAGTTCTGTCTGTTCTCCTGGCCACTTTTATGGGGTTTGGAGTTACAATGTGTGGAAATTCTATTATTGTTGAGGTTTTTAGATGGAGAGAAAGATGGCTTTTTCAGTCAAATCGACAGCGTGGTTCTCAGGAGGTGATGCAGCCGAATCAATCACCAGAGAATGCACAACAAGCGCAAACAAATCCTCAACAGCTTGAAAATGAAACTCAAGTTGCAGAAGCTATTCATGGCAGCTGACTTCTGTACTTTAACATGCACTAAAACCATAGTTGCATACTAGGAGGGGCTGTAAATAAATATAGAACATGTTAAGAGTAGTTGTATATAAACTATTTCGCATGTATAGCTTGGCCTTAGAAAAGTTCAAATGACAACCCGTGGTGAAACTTTTGGCGTCCTTGTATGCATGCATATATTTAGTGTTCTAGTGAGGACTCAACTTAGAGCCAGATTGTTCGACTCATCCTTCATCCTTCAATATGGTCTAACGATCAAAATTGTTCGGATTTTAGGTCTTCCTTCTGGATAATCTTTTTTTGGGTCAAGTTTATCATTCTTTTTCAGCCACATTCGATACGACACTTTGTTTCTGCTTGAATCTAAAAGTGAGCTCTCTTTTTTTCAATTAAAACTAATCCAATAAATGGTTCATAGAAAGGGTAAGAATGCATTAAGGGCTGTAAAATAATTACCAGTCAACGGCACTGCTGGGATGAAACAGATCTCAAGGGAGCAACATCATATCATTCCTGTAGGTCAGTAAATATACTCTAGCAAAAGCCGTTTTGTACTTACAAATGGGGGTTTTTCTCCCTCCCAGCCTCTTACTGCCTTCAATGACATTTTTGTCTATACAATATAATCAGTTGGTTGCATGGCAATGCCGGTCAGATTACGCTTACAAAGTGCTATTTCTGGAAAAACCAACTGGATGACAAAAGAAAATTGGCTACACAGGCAAATGGAACTGTAACCCAATGGGGAAAAAATTTCGGAAAAAAAAATGTCGAAGCTTGTTTTGCATTTGTGTCTTCAATTGATGACAGTCTGGTCATTGCTTGTAACTGGAACTACCAACCTTGCCTGAGGATAAAGGCTTCTCCTTCAAGCTGGTGCTTAACACAGTTTCAGAGTTGTTTGATTGGCTTTCTGAAACCCCGGGTCTCATCCAAACTTTTATATGCCCTTCTCGGCAGACAGTGAGAACAGATTCTTGAGTAAACATCAAGCCAGAGAGGGGTTCAGTGTGTACACGGTGAGCAACCAGTGGTGAGATTTTTGGAACATCTCGCATGCTTGGAGCAGGCTGCAGAGTACCCACTGGAAGTGCATTGTCCCAATGAGATGACTGGCTTCCAGCACTATAAGTGGGGGAGCCACCAGGAGGGCATCGCCGCAATGGCACCACAATCTCATCCATTTCCAGGTCCCACAGAAGCAACTGGGTGTCCTGCACTCAAATGGATGAGCATAATGAAACAAAGAAATATCATATGGTTTTGAACTAGGAAACTATTTTCCAATTAAATAACTAATATTTTCAAAACTTTCGCTGTCTCATTTCCTTTCCCTATCTCCAATCTATAAATACATTTTTAACTACTATGTTTTTATCCACCTGCAAAAAATATCCGCAATTGTAAAAGTAAAAGGGAGCAAAAGACAACCTACAAGTCAACTTTACTCTCTCTGTCCTTACCCATGTGTGGTGGACCATGGGTAAGAACTAACAATGAATTATCAAATACTACATTTTCAACTCAAACCATTTTCCTTTCTAAACAAAACTTGAGCCATATATCTCTGCTACGGCAATTGGTCTGCATTACGAGACTGACCATCTCAGTTGTTGGCTAAATACTCAAATATTTTCTTTTCATAATCCCTTTAAGTAAACTACAGAAAGGGTAAAGGAAGAATACCGAGATAAGTTCATAACTTCTCTCAAATGCACTCATTTCAAATCACTATAATTTTTTACGTTGATTGTAAATCTTAGCATACCTTTGTAGGTTCACCAGTTATAGCTCATATTAAACTTTCTATTGAAAACTTTAAATGTCAAATATATGTAATGAATAAACAAAAGCAGAGTTTTGGTAAGACAAGAGAGCCAAGAAACAATAAAAATTTAGCGAAGGAAATTACAATGGAATTATGGCATTTTTATACATGAGTATCTGATTATAAAAACCAAAAATCGAAGACAAGACCAATATTTTTCTGATACCTGACCGACGGAACCAAACCGGTACATGATAGTCTCCCCCATACCATCTGAATTTGGTGATGACCAATATGAATCAAAAGCCACTCCACTGACCTGCCAACATCATCCAGTAAGAACTTAGTAAAACAGCCACAATCAAGTAATTAAAGCAACCACGATGCTATTTAAGAAAACTACCCAAGAGTTGTGCCCCTCTCCCCATGCTACAACTTTCCGATCTTCCATGCTCCAAACTTGAACTAAATCATCTTCACCTCCTGTCAGTATGTATTTTCCATCCATGCTGTTCAGCAGCATTTTGTAATCAATCATACTATCATCTAAGAAGTATAATAATATCTTAATGCAAAAAGGGCCAAATACTACAGGAGTTTAAATTTAAAGGTAATCTACAAGATCGGAAGAATATTACAAACACCAGCAGCAAGCTTCAATGAAAAACCAATAAAGATGCACACCTCCAAGCGCAACACAAGAGAGCACCGTAGTAACTTTTGCCGCCACATATAAGTTGCTCTTTTGAGTAGTCAAAAACGCGTAGATAACCTGCATTCAGTAATTAAATTTACATCATATAATTTGCAAACGATAAACTACACAATCCAAACAATACTATATTGACATTATACCATCTCTTCCAACAGTTGCTAAAAAGGCCCCATCAGTTGAGAAAGCAATACTATTAATTGAACCATGGCAGATATGCCATCTGGCAATTGGGTTACTCTGCACAAGAAAAATAGGAAGTCAACATAAAATTGTAGGTGGATAAGGAAGCAGAAATAGAAATTCAGGTTGTCAGATGCACATATCTCCCTTCTAATTATCTGACATTTATCGTAGTCATTTGGTTGATGCAAATTCAGTATTCGGCTAATTAACCACAGTGACATTCCAGTATAGCGCACATAAACCTGTAAGACCTCAACCAGATTACCTCAACAAATATATAAGGATTTACTAGAGGCTAGATCCGTAAAGATGCCTTGAATAACTGATGCTTCGCTCCTCGACATTGCACAAGGGGGAACGGGCTTCTTCAAAGACATAATGATAACTTAAATAAACTAATAGACGGCTAAGACAACTTAACAAATGAGAAGATTGTTGGTTAAAACAGACTAGCAGATTGAAGATTGAGTCTCACAAGTCAGAAATAATCCCTGTATTAAACTAGGGATCTATACTTTAGAAAATTACCCAAACACAGCACCTAAAAAGACTTATATCTAAAATAGGACACAAACTGAGCATCAGAATAACAGCAAAGTGTCTTATTCACTGTCAAAAGTGCCAACTAAATTCACCATAGTGACATAGCTGCAGCATGTATCCCTTATCTAATTTATAGACAAACTTGATGAGCCACTTTCAGAAAAAAATAGCTACATGGGAAACAAAGTTAGAAAAGGAAATAAACATAACTCAATACCTTACTGTAACGTGCATGTGCAACAGAAAATTGAGCTTGATCTTTGATAACAGGGAATGAAGAATCGCCTGCCCCATCTTTGCTCTAGAAAAAAACAAAGATACATAAAAAACACTCAATTACTTAATATGCAATCATGGAATACAAAATTTACGGCAGCGAAAAGTGTTTTTTAGATAAAAGGGGCTTGCCTTTTCATATACATATAGATTCCCATCAGCGTGAGCAACAACAAAAGCACCATCACCACCAGGAACCCATGCAATACTAGTACAACGGCTGTGGAAAACAGGTATTAATCAAAGTACCCCACACAAGTGTACAAAAAAAGTCAAACAGACAGAAGGCTCTCGAATGATGCCCATTGAGGAAATGACAAACACAAGCTAAAAATCAATTATTGACAATTGCAAAATAGTCAAGTTACAGGGACTAAGTTTTCTGTTTGCTCACAGGTGCGGGTGTAGCAACAGTTCAGTTAGCTCCCACCTAGCAGTTTATAAACCAAAGGTCCAAAGTGTACAATAAGGCATCAAAAGGGCACTGGTCAAACATCTAGAGAAACATAAGGTTCTCGAAACCAGAAGATCCAGAATACACAATAAACTTCTGATCATGGCTGAAGTGAAGGAAAAACGAATTAGCCCTTGCAAGAGTGATGAAACAAGACATTTACCCATCAACTTGCAGCCATATAGTAGAGAGGAAACTATACTGGCCAATTTGAAGCCTACTAATCCAGAACTAGACTAATATTCACAGCCACTTCTAGTGTTCTTTATTACTTTTTCGGTAGTTAAGAAACCTTCTAGCCTCCACAGAAGCGAACTAAAAAAGTTAAATATATCAACACATACTGCATCAGGGAGATAAATTGCAGAGAAGCTATCTTCAACTTATACTAAACTTTTGACATTACGGACAGAACCATGACTGGGTGAACCTTTTATACAGAATGACTTCTAATCTACCTCTAATGTCACACAGAGAATCATCTTTGAAATAAAGAACCCTTTTGAAGTAGATAAACTAAAAACAAGAGGAAAAAAAGAAAAAGGCGAGAGAGAGTTAATCTTGCCTGCTACTAATAGAGCCATCTTTGTTATAATGCTGAGCACCAACAAGCTTCTTTCCAACATCCTGCAATTGCTGTCTGAGTGACACTGAGTAGACTACAAAAGTACACATACAACAATTCAAAACATTGAACTTCAAAAACAAGATTGCGATTTCAAATTCAAACAAACATTTGTACCGTCGCCAGAATTCAACCCAATAATCAAATCATGACCATCCTTTGCGTCTTGATCAAATGCGTGGCACGCAGGGTTTGAATTACTGAAATGTATAGACTTTACTGGATCCTACATGCAACAAGAAACGTATCATAAACCGATCTCAGCGCCTAAACCAACAAATGGAACTTCAAAAATACCTTGTCTTGAGAATTCAAATCACTAATGAAGATTGCATCCCCCACATTGAAGATCAAGTAAGTCCCTTTCCCATCAAAATTTGAAGTAGAAGTCGAACTACTTGAACTGGAAGCCACCAAAGACCCAACTCTACTACTCACACTGACACTCTTACTCCCTCCATTCCCTCCAACAAAGCTAAGTGCCCGGCTCCCATTACCACCACCCAACAACCTTGCTGCAGCCGAACGTACACCACTGCCAGTGCTGAAGCTTGAAGATGATGCAGTCGGGGTTGATGGAGCAGGCTTGTCTTTAAGATGTGCTAATGTCACCTGATAACCAACGAACCACAAGGCTCTTAATTCTGATATCATATTTTAAAAAAGGCTTGCAGAGTAAATTAACCATACAAAAAAGTACTATCATACAGGTACCCCAGTAGATGGACCTGAATATTCCATAAGTTCACTTATAATCATCCAAAACTGCACTAAGAAATTACATTTCAAGAAAAAGTAGAAAAAGGGATAGATGGTTTCAAATACTGGGTCTTGAAACACCTCATATTTCCAGCATTAACATTTCTTTTAACACTTCAGTTAGAAAATCAAACACTCAAAACAAAACCCAGACAATAAAAATCTAATTTTCAATTCTTCTATCATACGGGTTATAACCATTGAGAAAAACCCTAACAAAAACAGAAAGCTATAAATAACAAAAAAATATCTTCACAAAAATACCCAAAAATGGCTAGGACACAGTGAAGTCCCGAAATGGGTAATGAAGGAAATTAATGGCAGAAATTGAGTACCTGAGTGACGGTTTTGCCATGAGCGTAGTGAAGGAGACCCGAAGAGTGGGTTTTCTCGTAGTGAAGCTTGTACCTTCCCTCTGGGGTCTTGAAATAGGTCTTGAGACCCGGTGACTGAGCGTTGCTCGACGAAGTCGTTGACATCATACCGTTGGAAGTATTGATCATGGTGGCGATTACAATAGACCTTGGAGCATACGATCATGACCCCTAGGGTTTAAAATGCTTCTCCTTTCTTCTTGTTTTGAGTTCGAAATTGATATAGAAAGGTGGGTTTTTGCTCTGTTCGTGTTAATGGGATCAAATGGACAATCAAAATTGTGTCTTTGAGATATTCTGTGATATATTCTTATATAAGAATGACTAATGCTAGAGATACCAAAATAAGTGTTTGGATTTCAGTTGATGTATACGTGTTATCAACCTTATTCACTTTTAATAAATCAGTTATTATATGTACTGATCACGTTTTTTGAATCGTGATAGTGTTTTATTTGTTCATTTTAAGTCGAACTTCAATCAGTTCTAACAAGAAAAATAACCATGTCACTTGCTACAACATTTGGTAACTCATAGGAAAATTTTGTTGAATCTAACATTATTGTATTTGGTAATTAAATTTTCAGAAAAGGTTTGGCAAATACTGGAATTATTTTTAGAAGAGAAGGGAGAGAATTGCTGCATTGCAATTTGCATCCGTTGTGAATGCAAGGATGGCCCCTTGGGTTTTGCAAGTACATAAAGAGCTCAGATTAGAATTAGCCTGCTTTCGGAAAAAGTACTTACTTCAACATGAATCTGTCTGGGCCAAGTTTGAAAAGAACCAACAAGCTTAACAAAAGAGATTTTACAACTAGGGTCCACTTGGAATATAGACCAGCCCAATTTGTTCCAAAACTTGAACAAATTTGGATCTCAAGCCCGCTTTGATTTCATAATTTAATACTAGTACAATACACAATAAACATAGTTGAAAAAGTTCTTGACCGTAGAATTAATGGAGGACCCATTGGTGGTTATTGGATCTAATCTTGATATTGGAAGGATGTAACACATCAGAGGAAATGGTTGAAAATGATTGCCTGCTGAACTGTTTTTCTTCAGTTTGCTTAAAGAGGATACTTAAATTTCCAACGGCCATGCTAAAAATGATTATGATATCAGTAATTAGTAATTAAGATGAATATAGATGCTTATTGTCTGTTAATGAGAGTTTAATCTCATCTAATCCTTCATTTACATGCATGTATCTCAAAAAGGTCATTTCATTGTTGGAGTTTCAAATTCTAGACTTAACCCTTGTTTAGTTGTTAATTAATTTGTCTCACATGTTATTTGAGCCAAGACAAATGCTTAGATCAGATTATACTGGTAGTCAGAAAATTTATCAGAAAATTTACTGTTATCATGGAATTGTTCATGGCAGTGACACTTCCCCTTCCCTTTGAATCTTATATCAATTTCAAGGGTCACCAAGAATCAAAGAATTGCAGAAATTGGTCCCACCCTAACTGCTTATTATGAAAACTTGAACTTCAAGCTTTCTCTTTTGAAGTTGCACCAAACAGGAAGCAAAAAACCTTCATCATTCTCACTTATTGTACCCCACTCCCTTCAATCACATATCCAGCTATGTTTTCCTGCCCCACTAAGCAAAACTCAATCTCTCCTTCACTGTTCCTCTTTCTTACCAAGAAAAAGATGGATATTGGCTTCAGATGACATTGTCTTGCTACCTTAAAATGACTCCCTTTCACCTAACTTCCCACTCTCTTTTAGTCACACCCACACAATATATACCCTCACTCCTCTCCAACCTTAGCCCATCTCCTCCACCTTCTCTTTCTGATCAAAACCCACCAAGCCAAAAACATAAAAATAAGGGATGGCAGCCTTATCTTTCTTTACATTCTTCACTTTGATCATCTTCCTCCACTCAGCCACAGTTTCTGCTCAGTCTCCAGCAGCAGCCCCTGCACCATCAGCAACCAATGTGACTGCTATTCTTGAGAAGGCTGGTCAATTCACCACCTTGATTAAGCTACTCAAAAGCACCAGGATGTCTGACCAAATCAACACACAGCTCAGCACCTCAAACCAGGGCATCACCCTCTTTGCACCAACTGATAATGCCTTTTCCAGCCTCAAATCTGGCACGCTAAACTCCATTTCAGAACAGCAAAAGCTGCAGCTTATGCAATTTCACGTCCTACCGAATTTCTTTTCGGTCTCACAGTTCCAAACTGTCTCCAACCCTTTGCATACACAAGCTGGAAATAGCAATGATGGCCAGTTCCCATTAAATGTGACCACAGCAGGGAACCAAGTGAACATAACAACAGGGGTTGTCAATGCAACTGTGGCTAATACCATATTTACTGACAATCAGCTAGCTGTGTATCAGGTGGACCAGGTGCTCCTTCCTTTGAACATTTTTGGCCCAGCAGCACCGGCTCCGGCGCCATCTGCACCCAAAAAAAGTGTTAAAGGGGCTGATGCCCCTTCAGGGTCATCGGACACCGGCAGTACCCCGGATGCATCTGCTGCAATGGGGCTGAAACACCATGGAATGATAGCAGTATCCACGGGGGTAGCAGCAATTCTTGCAGCAGTTTTCTTGTGATGTTGAGATGTTGAGTTGAATTGCTGTGGTCATCTGAACTTTTGTTTTGTTTTGTTTTGTTTTGTTTTGTTTTCTGTATTTCTGCTAAGAATTTTGTACAACTGTTATGATTTGAAATTAAATTGGACATTGTTCTTTTGAATAAACTCCTCCTCTCAACCCTATGTGTTCATAGATGTCTCCCTGGAGTTGCAGTAAGGAAAGCCATGCATCTTCATCCTAATGATTGTTATGCAGTAGAACTGTTGTAACTAGAAATAACATTTTCTGCTTCATCATACGATATATAAAAAACTGAGGAATTTGATGCCACTAAACAAACATAGGGAAAGAGCAGCATAGCTTATAAGAGTCAAACATCATTAGATTTTACGGCAATAGGGAATCAATCTATATTATTGATTGACTGCCTCCATTTTGTTGCTGCTAGCAAATTCCACTATTTTTGCTTTTGGATCTTCTAAATCATTCACACAGAGATTGTCCAGAGATAAATAAAAACTATATAGTTTTGAGTTGCACTAACAAATTAGGTGACAATAAGTGATATCATAAAACGATTCGCAAACATTTGCTGTGGTATAAACTAATCATCCAATAAAATACACTTTTCTGAGTATATACTGAATCTTTTGTTATTGAAAAAATTCACTAAATAAACTCAACTGCTATCCAGAACCATGCATGTTCAAGTCTGATGAGAACCCATTATCGAAAAGGGTACATGCAACATATACAGAAATGGTCTCACCAATTTCATTTAATCAACTAATACAAGTTGTTCTAGACTCGTGATGTTCCGCGTAGCAACTCTCAATGGAAAAAAAATCCATGTAACAACTATGAAGCCCTTTTGGGGTGGCTGAAGTATATCTCACCAAAAACCTGTCATCAATTAGTAAAACTGCTTTGGTGCTCCCCTAGAATGACACAGTTTATGGCTCTCTTTTGTGCAAGCATGGGGAGAGGAGCTCCATTCTTTACTGGAAATCAAAACTGGAAGTCGAATCCACCAGGAAAGCCTCCTCCAAATCCACCACCACCACCGCCACCGCCAGGGAAGCCCCCTTCGAAAGTAAATGTAAATTGTTGTGAGCCGCCACCAAAAGGGTTAAAACCGCCACCGCCGCCGCCGCCCATTCCCATATCTTCAATATCTTCACCTCTATCATATTTTGTACGTTTGTCTTCATCTCCCAGAACCTGTAAAGGATTATATAAGGGTAAGACGGAACCAAGAAGTCCACATGTAAGATTCCTTTATTGCAGCAAATAAGTGTGGAAAATCTAGTTAAGGTTAAAGCTCAATAGGAAGGGAAGATTAAAAAGAGCTTCAGGGAAAATATTCAGACCTCATATGCAGCAGCAATTTCTCTGAACTTTTCCTCTGCTTCTTGTCTATTCTCAACATTTTTATCTGGATGCCACTGCAAAGCAAGCTTCTTGTAGGCTTTTTTAATCTCTGAAATTGATGCAGTCTTTGAAACTCCCAAAATCTTGTACCAGTCTTTACGTTTGCTCATCTTTAAGGCTTTCTCGGCCTTCATCAATGCTTCTCGAATATTCATATCCTGCACAATAAGAAAAAAATTAATCCAAGAAATTTATCAACATTACATTAATGGACGCAAGTGCACAGAAACTCATGCACACACCCGAAGTTATGGTCGTATAGCACACTTAACACACAGTTACATTGATATAATATTGTTAATGGTATACCTATCCACAGAACAAGACATAAATATTTGGCTTCTAATCTAGCTAAGTTTATCTATTGTTATGTGCATCATATTACTTATTAAAGCACTAATCCAGCAGCTGCAACAGAGTAAACATAATGGCTAACCTGAGGTGATCGCTGAGCTGCTGATTTGAGATCTTCCACAGCTCCCTCCCAATCCTCTGTCAGAAGTTTAGCTTCACCCCTCTGTAAACACAAAATTTAGTAAATAAACTTGAGGACAGCCATATTTTACACTAAATGATACACTAATATTAAATTCTATGAATGCTGAGGAAAACAGGGCATAACAGAAGCACCAGCGAACCTGAACTAAAGCTTCAAGTAGCTCCTCATCAATTTTAAGTGCTTCATTGCAACTACTTAAAGCATCCTTTCCCCTGCCAAGCTTGACTAAGGCTTTACACAAGCCAAGATGAAGACGCACATTATGTGCAAGATGATTAGGGTCCAATGCTAGGGCTGCCTTAAATTCCTCTACTGCAAGGCGCAGCTTGCCCTTATTTACATTATCCTCTGCCTGCATAAAGAAAAATTGTCTGAAAGAGATCTTCACATGATGCATAACATGGTAATGGTTCACGCAGGCTCTAAAGAAGGCCAACTTATGAAATAGTTTCACTACCATTGCCAAACTTCTTGGCATTCCCTAGCCGTTGGGGAAGAAGAGGAAAAGTTAACAAAAAGAAAAATCAAAAAACAATTGTTAGGACTTACACTTTTAGTCTTCTTGAGTAAGTTTTTCAGTCCGAAATACGCTTTCTTCAGTTCACCATGCTCTGGATCTAGGCGGAGACCCTTTTGGTAATGCCTAAAGAAATTGTATATATTCATTTTACTCTAACCAAATTATAAAGAAATTACTCAAAATTTAACAGGGTGCTAATCAAACCTCTGAGCAACATCATGATCAGCTAAATAGTAGTAGGCACGGCCA